TAATATTTCGAGCAGTCGTTCAGACTCCACATACGGACTCTGGAGAAGTCCACGTCGTGAGATTCTTTCGGCTGTCTATGAAGGTTCTCCAACATATGGATCACATGACTCCAATTCTGCATGAGGAACACGTCAGCCTGATCGAAGACTAGCACCTCGATCGAAGACAGAAAATCGGCACTGAAATGCTTGTCGGTACTGTTGCCCATCAGGACTCGAAGGCCGATCGGAGAGGCGATGATGATATCTGATGAGTAGAAGTCGACGTACAGTTTTAAGGTCTTTTTCGCGATACCCAGACCTATGTGAAAACAGTCATCAATATTACCACTGAAAACCTCGAAGTAGTCAGAGGACACTTTGAGCCGCTTCGCCTTGCGTTCAGCATCAGGGTTATGTTTCGTCGCGGAATCGGTAGTTACAGGGGCTTCCTTCGCGGTGGATGGGTCGCCGAATTCACGCATGAAACGTCGACGATTCAGCACTAGCTTCCGAGAGTCCTTGCCGAATAACACTTTAATCATCTGCTGAACAATGGCGAAAGCGGAGCTGCGGAACGGACAAAGAATCAGCACCTTGGGCCGGCACAAACCGTGATCCCTGTATTCGAGCAGGATTCCCTGTGATTCGGATCCTTCTTTCAGCTTCTCATTGTGGTACAGAATCCTGCCTCGAGTTTTCAGCGCATGGTTCAACGCATGCAACGCAATTATGAAATGCAATTCATTTGTCTGGCTATGTTCTCTTACCGGATAGTAAAGATCCTGAAATTAACTGGAATAAATACTAAAACATGAAACGAGACTAACAGCGTCAGTTATAGTTATGTATCCCACTTATGGTAAAATTATTCAATTCAAACTTAACTGCTTAACTGCTATAATACCAGACTGTGACCCACAGAGGAAAAAATTTATAAAAGCGGTAAAACAAAGCTCGCATGCCTATGCACATCATTCAATATTCCATGGATCAATTTTTTTTACAATTAACGAAATTCTTGACGGAAAGGTGATCGAGGATATAAACAATGATTGACTTTTGAATGGAATGTATCTATCTATGAGACTGCCGCATATTTCTGAGATGTGCTGTAAAAATTAAGATTTGCTGACAAATAAACTTCACTTCCTTATAACAAGAACATCCTTGCAGATCTCACACGGGCTGAGGGCAAATGCAAATCTGTGGATGATTTTCCAAAGCACTAGGAGACCATCATCAGGCATGTTTTAAAAGAACTTAATACTTGGACTTCCTTGGGTAAGATATTTTACCACCTCGCCTTCTTCTGAGGCATTCCACAACCTCTGAGAGCATTTTGAAAGCTTCACAAACTCTTCAAGTAGCTAACAGCACTCACAAACTCCTGAGCGCATTCACATGCCGCCCAGACGATACAAGTTTCACTGATTTCATAAACTTTTTATATTCATTCACTCATTCGCTATACATTAAGCCTCATGTCTCGCCAGTGTGCAGCAACGGAATCACACTCCAGAAAGATGTTCAGTGCGGCGTATTTTAAATTGCAATTTCTAATCACGAATATAGATGAGATGGATCAGGCTAACGGTCTTCGGCTAACTAAGGGATGATAAACGTATGATTAGAGATCTACCTTCTATCTCATAGCGTGTATCTTAAAACGGATATCTCCAGTCCAAAGATGGAAGGAAGGGGTGGAGGAAGTGTCCCTGGCCCACTTTATTCACAAATAGAAAAAAAATAACAGTCCAACTATCTTCCTCTCTGGGAGAGAATGATTTTCCGACTGGATTAGAATAGATTATTAGTATAAATATTTACCCAGTTGAATGCATACGTACGTGATAATTAGAAATAATGCCAAGAAGGTCGCGCTGAAGACCGCTGATTGACTGGCGTTGAACCTGATCATCACTGCTTTCGACCGTTGCGGCATCGGTGACGTCGAAGTTCTTTCTCAACCTCTTTTTCAGGCGATTAATGTTCAAAGAAAACTTGCTGTATCTGGAACCGATGTTCTTCTTCATCGTCACGTTCACTTCGCCGAGAGAAGGGAAGTGGTCCTTTGAAGGGACGTCCGCAACCATCGCTTCCAAAACATCACTAGCAACACATTGCTCAAAGTGCCAACGAAAAGGGTCAGCTACGGCTTCGTCTTCGAAAGCGCTGATGGCTGTATCAGACGCATCAGAATCCTCATCTTCCTTTGAATCCATAGCTGCCAACAGATAAAAACAGAAAATTCTAATCTTGAGTAGACGAAACGCGAATTCATGTAATCGAAATGAAATAATTTCAGCTGATGAACTTCAAGAAAAAACATTAATTTCAATTTTTAATCAATCGTAAAATAGCACTAAACATAAACACGTAAATAGTAAAAAAGCAAGTGCCGACAACGCAATCGCAATAACTTAAAATTAAGGTATATAAAGCAGCTGCTAAAGTTGCTCGCTTAGTTCGCACTATGAAGTACAAAGATGACAAAGCCCTCGTAGCAGCTGGAAAAGTAAACGAACGCAAATTCTGCATCAGATCAAATGATTCCGGGCTCTTGAATTTTGGACGGTGGCAGCGGGGGATCCATCTGCGTCCGCATGATATCTGGAAGAGGAGGGGGTTCTGACAAGGAGTCGACCTGAAGGTCTTCGAATGTTCCGTCTAAAAACCAGTGAATTCACTAGCACCAACAAGCATGTGAGAAAGACGACGGTACTAAAACATGAGGCAACAGTAGTCGGTGGTAAACACCATGTTTTAATTAACGTAGATGTTATTTTAATCTCAGGTCAACAATACACCGGCAGAACAATTTCCAATATCAATAGAATCTGACTCATAAAATGGTTTCAAATTTATGAACTTCATATGTTAACTCTGCTGCGAACGTTACATCCATTAAATAAAGCAAGTTTGCACGTTTTGTATTACCTCCCAACATGTAGTGGTCAGGGAAAATCCCCCATTAATAGAGGAAGTTGTAAACTTTGGTTCTATTACACCAGTATAGACACCGGTCTCTAAGCTTCCACAGCTTTCTTAAGCCCGTAGAAATAGGCATTTGCCTGCTGTCGAATCTGCTGCATTGTACTTCCATAATGCTTGTGTAAACGAAGCTGTTCGAAGTTCACCGGATCTGCAGAAGTCTGTAACTAAACTAGCTAACTCCAAAATCAGTCACTATCATTAGCTAAGACTGTTTCAAGATAATAAAAATGGCTGACAACCTCTATGTTGAATCATTCTAAAACATACTGCAAAACACTATTTTCAAAGTGCAGAATAACAAACATCGAGTTATGAATGAGAGCTTATGTTATGTGAGGAACTAAGCTGCTAAATGGCCAGTCGGCTAAGAGAGCTATACGGAGCATTGGAATTTATCGCAAGAAAAGAATCACCGATTAGCTATACACATCGTTGACAAATTTTCATACCCGCTTTCCGCAGTACAAGCCCAACTAAAGCCGGTTGCTGTACACGAGCACTTTCGGTTGTAAAGCCACAATCACTCAGCAGTTGATCGTCGTCAAGTATTTTGTCGTTCAAATACAGCACCTGATCTTCAGGCTTAGTCTAAAGCAGAAAAATAAATACAGGGTGAAAAAAACTTAAAGGACAAGTAAAAATGATTCGCCACTGACCAGATGAATATTTTTTATAGCTACGATGCTGGTTTAACAATACTAACGTCTGCTTACTGCAAAAGTAGATTGTTTAACTCACTTCACAAAGTTACCGGCTATATATTTAGACTAGTAAGCAGTCGGTGGGAGACACACAGTCCTGCCACTAGGATGTGAATCGTTCATGGATTTTATCATAACGACTTCGCATCAAACAACTTCGATCAAGTTCAGATTCGTCCAAATGACCAGCTTAACTGAAGGCAGTCAGGGGGTCGGTAAAAGAGCAACGATATAGTGATTTTAAGCATAAAAACGAATGGGGTGCTTCGGCTGTTGTGCAAGGTCCAATCACTCAAAGAAGCCAAAGAATTGCACTTTGAACCTACGCATGTGTTTATTTTGTTAGTCAAATTTTAGGTCTGTGCAGCACTCGCAAGATACGACTGTGGAATACCTTGCCCAAAACGAAAGCGCGTGATGTAGTACTTTTGGCTGTTGCCAAAATTTTTGCAATGTCGTCAGTACATCTCGTAGCACTTTTCCAGATTTAAACGATACACTCGCATAGTCCCCTTATTTCCAGTGGTCTAACGAATCGTTTAAACTTGCCAGTGCTGAATTGTATTTTAGCACCTGCAATGCATTGGCGCAAAACACCACAACCTGTTCGAACACCAGCCGATATATCTCGATCCGTAGGCATATACAATAAATATTAACCCCGGTACTATGTGCTACCTAGCGAATTATTAGTACTCGGTACCACTGGTAAAAATAGCTCTGTTGGCACTTCTATGGATTCATACGGCGCAGTCGCACTGCAAGTGCCAATACTATTGAGCCGTGACCCTTTAAAGCATTCCCCAAGGCTGCTACAGGCAACAAAATGGTGCGACCACGTTATGTAAAACGGAAGTGACATGAGACAGCCATCTTACCCATCCAACTAGCAGCTTAATAGCAAACTCATAATTCCGAGTAAATTTTTATCGTGAGTACACCGTGCTCTCTCAGAGAGGTGTTAGTAAGTTGGCAGCCAGTTGAACATTAGGAAGGTTACCTTAAGGATACCAGCGATGATCTTTTTTAGCTCGATGACCTTGCTGGATTCCTTGGCATCGCAAAATATGTGGGTTTTTCCTCGCCGCACCTCGAAAAACAGATCCTGAAATAAAGAACAATGTCAATTCAGTGTTGTTGTTGCCGATGAATAAAAAATTAGCATTTCACCATTTTCAACGACCGCTAATCACGAAACTGCAGCCGAGCGGATCAGGCAAAGAATCGTATGGTCGAAATCGAAAGAAAAGTTCCTGAAAATGGAATTTTATGTATATGAAGCGACGGAACTTCAGCAGCGCATACGAGAAACAGAAGATATAGATGCAGAGATTCTTTGCAACTGAACATATAGTCTAACAGTTTTGACTTGAATTCTGTGGGTGGCAGCGGCACTGGGGCGCAGCATCAACAAGCGAGGGTATACTATTAAATCATTTCACAACTTCATTGAAGAAAACCGATTGTAAGCTCAATTAAGGCGTCTTTCAATCTTATCTGTTGACCTCAGAAGACGAGTTTTATCACTGAGTTTAAATAAAAGAATCTGACCGTTGAAAACACCTTTCTTCATGTTTCTATTAAAGTATGTCTGAAAAAACATATTTGAAGTTGATCCGCTTGCGACAAGGAATATGTAGAGGTTAATGCCTAAAGTAATTCAAGGGCATCATTCATGCTTATCAGACATCATTAACCTGACATAAAGGGAGCGGAGCAGCTGCCGCGTTCCAGATAACGATGAAAAACATCAACAAGTTACGAGATTTCTGTTCTGAAAGTGTTATCTACATCTTAATATTCGTTCCATCATGACAAACGAATTTTTGAAATTATTGGAAAGCAGATTCTTGGAAGGTATTTAGGCGTTGTCGTAAGCTTTCATCATTATCACAGAAATTGCCTATAGGTTAGTTTAAGACAAATTTAATAAAATCAATAATTTCATTTCAAAAGATGGTAAGGAAAGAGGATGCGACAAATAACTGCTCCCCACCATATAAAAAAAAAATTGAGTTTCCGAATGGAGATGAT